GTAATGAAAGAGGGGCTATGATTGAAATAAAATTGACTTAGAGTGGATAGAATTGGAAGAAATTATAATAGAATAGGGTAGAATTTAAATAATTTTAAGGAAGTGTAGGAGTTGCTATTTAATTAAAATATTTTTATGTAATTGAAAATCATTTAAATTTTTAAAACATTTGAAATTCATTAATGATATTAAAATATTTAATAATATTTACAATAATTTTATTAAGTGAACATACTAGAATATATAAAAAAAAATTTAAAGCAAAAATTGATTAAAATTCTAAACTTTAAATAGATTTTTAAAATACGTATTTAATCGAATAGTAATCCTAAAAAGGTCAAAGGTCGGTCAAAATTGGGTGTCAACACCTTATCATCGCCTCTTATCACATTTTCTATCCCAGACGGCATCGGTGGGTCAATGGTTTGCTTACCACCTCGAGTTGTGACTGCCATTCAATGTCCATCATTATTTAGATTTTGGATAGTATCACTAGGAAGAGTGCTCAGTTGGCGTGGGTTCATAGTCAAAGACAATTGGGTCATTTGCAACTCAAGATGCTTGATCGAGATTGCATGTGCATCAACTTTTTGCCCAATACTCGCTAAGTCACTACTCAACTTTTTAGTGTGCTCATTACTAGTATCAAACCTCCTCATCATTTTTTGAAACATATCCTCAACTCGCGCCATACTACCTCCACCATCCCTAGGAGCAACTTCACGATTTTGAGGTGGAACATAGGGCCCACTCCTATCATTTTTGTTACCATAGTTACCCCGGTTGAAGTTGTTGTTGCGGTTGTAATTCCCATCTCTGATATAATGATTCTCTCGATTGTAATTACCATAGTTCCGACCTTGATTTCCTTGACCTTTGCGCCAATTCTCTTGATTGGAGCCTTGGGCGTTTGGTCAGAAACCCCCCGTCTGCTCATTTACCGCATAAGAGTCCTCCTCATAGTAATACTCATCAGTCGGCGGTCATAGTTTAGACAAGTAGTTCAGCGCATTTACCTTTTCCGCACCCCAGTGACATGTTTCAACACCAAACTAAGATCAGTTCTCATTGATCCATTTCTTCATGAATCTCATATGTGGTTGGGTTGTGTGCGGATTGCACTGCATAAGTGTTTCTCCCAGTATCTAACTTTCTAGTGCTCCAAGATTTTTTGAGGGACCCGCTATCGTATCCAGTACTACTTTATTATTATCATTTTGTCCTCGATAGAAGTACTCTTTCAGTGACTCATCATGGATGAAGTGATTGGAGACACTTCTCAAGAACGAAGTGAACTTTCCCAAGAACTACTGACTGATTCTCCCGGTAGTGACACAAAGTTGTTCACCCTATCTTTGTGGTTTAGCTTCTTAGACACCGGGTAGTAACATGCTAAGAACACATCCCTCAATTGATTCCAAGTGTAGATTGAGTTACAGGGGATCTCGGTAAACCATATAACGGCCTCTTCCGTCAGTGAGAGAGGAAACACTCTCAACCCAATTACATCCATATTCAAATCATTCCTCCCTACACAACTCTTACACACCGACCTCACCTTGGCAATGTGAGCATGTGGATCCTCAGAAGGTAGCCCCGAAAACAAACCTCTAACGGTGAGCATTTGCATTAGACTATTAGTTACCACGAAAGTATGGCCGTGTGGTAGGGGAGGCAAGACAAGTGGCCCATTAGAGTCAGTAATATTATGATATCCCCTATAATACTCTTGAAAGCGTGGAGCGGGAGGTTGCCTATGTATTTCACCTTCCTCGTGATTTTCATGTAATAATTGATCATGAGCATCAATTGATGGTGGAATTTCTGGGTTGTGATCATCATCAAGAATTTCTAAATTTCGGTTCATTCGCATAGTGTACGCTCTAATGCGGGGTCGGGTGAGAGTATGGGTTCTCCTCTACTCCGCGTACTTTGCATACACGAAGTTACATCTGCAAAAGACAAAAACAAAGAGAAAAAGTAAAATTAGGAAAATGTTGACTAAACTTTGGTAATAAGCTTAAAGTTAATCTAAAAGCCACTTTCCCCGACAGCGGCGCCAAAATTTGATACGCTCAAATTTACTTCTCGAAAAGAAGTATAAGCGATCGTATCAAGTAATGAACCCAACTATGAGGTTGGGGTCGATCCCACGATGAAAATGATTTAGACTTAACCTTAATCTACTAGTACTTTTATTTAGTTAAGTCCTTTACGAAAACAAGTAAGAAAAAGGGGGTTTTAAGTAATGAATGTAATTAGTTATGTCTGAGTAAACAAGTGGCAAGTTCAAAGATTTGATTTTTATCAAGTAATGAAAGTAACTAGGGCTTAAGTGTTCCCCACAGGCTCATAACACAGTGATTCTAGCTATAACAATCCTTTCATAGTATCTTGCATGCAAAGTGATAAGTTATGTATCCCTAATTCCTTGGTCCAGCAACTAGGGAATTTCACTTCGCACCTTAGTCTGTCTACGTGTGTATGCTTTACTAAACCTTACCTTTACCTCATATTAAGCATCATAATCAATGTATATATTAGTTGTTACTTGTACTAATTGACACTAGCCTATTAGATAGTATATACTAAATCTACATTGGTAATTCTTTTCTTATTATCTACCTCCTTGGTTCGGCAAGTAGCAAAAAGGCGAGTTCTAACGCGTGCACTCATTAAAAGGACTTCTAAATGAAAGAATTATCAATACATGCAAGACACTATTCTCGGATTATTATTTCAACTAGTTTTTACCTTGTTAATTACCCATGGTTCCCACAACCCTAGCTATGGATTTAGTTACCCATGTTAATAATCACACAATTCATATTAGTTTGATAATAATTCATGCACTTACTTTGATGAGATTGAAGAAAACCCAGAAAATTACTTGAATTAATCAATAAGCTTGCAATAAACGATTTCCAGAAAATAGAATAATTTCTCAAAATCACAAGTTCACAACTAGAACAATAAAATCTAAAAAATACCCAAGACTATAACCTCAAAAATGAGGTTTTTACAAGTATTTATAATACTAGAGTCCTAACAAAAGAGGGAAATCTATTTAAGAAAAATCTGCCCAAAAACCGCGTCTGAGTCAAAAACCTAGATGACGGACGTCAAGGCCACGACGCGTGGTCCATTGTCGTGGTCATCCGTCGTTCCAAACTTAGCTTCTTTTCAATATGGGTATTGGGGCTACTTTTTGTTGATGATGACGGATCAGCACGATCCGTAGTGGAGATGACGGTCCGTCGAGAGCCTCCGTAGCCCCACACTTAGTCAGAATTCCCCAATCTTCATTCAATTCTTTTCCTTGATACGATGGTGGCCACTAACGGACCGTCAATAGCTCCGTTGGTAGTCACTTCTGCAGTTTCAGCATAATTCTTTAGCGAATTCATTCTGGACAGATTTCCTGCAAACAAAGAGAAAAATACATTAAAACTAATTCAAAAAAAGCTTTAGACACACACGAAACCTAAGGAAAAAGCATTAAAATTACCGTAAAACTATGGTACATCGAATTCCTCTTCATAATATTTAAGTTCTAATAATAGTGACGGAGAGGGATCCTGGGATCCTCTACTACTGAAGACCTAAAAGTTCATCATGAACAAGACGACATGTCCTCATCTGAGGAAAAATGTACGTCTTGCCAGACTAGCCAACCTTTTGATAAAGATAAGGATGAATTCTATCAGTTATACTCTCAGTTCAAGGACTTAAACATCGATGTTATAAGTAATGACAATTGAATATAAATTCTTAGGAAGATTGATGACCCAACATTAAGGTCCGAAATTATCGACAAAATTTGTAATACCAGCACCTCTACTAGTAATACTAGAATTCCTAAAGAAAATCCTATTCATAATAATGTTTATACCATGGCAGAGGTAAGAAGACAACTAAAACTGAGGTCTCAAAGGGATCACATTCCTACTACAATTCAAGACATGGTTGAGGAGATAAATAATCTCAAAAAAAAAGAAATATCTTTTCTCAAAAATCATAATATGATTCTTGATGAAAGAATTACATATATAGAAAGTAAGGACAAAAATCATCATAGAAAACATGTCATAGCTTAAGATGATCCTCCTATAATGTTCCAAAAAGTAATCTTCCTGACATCCCTAATGAGTCTATTGATAATGAGAATTTATTTTTAGAAACTATTGAGTTAATTACAGCACATAAACCTTTAGCAAAAATTACTCTTTTTATTGATTATAACCTAAAAAAGGATTTTATTGCTCTAATTGATAGTGGAGCTGATTTAAATTGCATTCAAGAAGGATTAATTTCATCAAGATATTTTAAAAAGACTACACATTGTCTTCGTAATGCTAGTGGTCATAAAATGGATATTGAATAAAAAATTCCTAAAGCATATATATGTACAAATAATATATGTATGCCTGAAAGCTTTGTTTTAATAAAAAATATTTCTAACGAAATCATTTTAGGAATGACTTTTTTCTGGCATATATATCCTACAACTTCATGGAATGAGACCGGAATTACTGGTACTTTCGAAGGAACAAAAATAAGAATAGATTTTATATCTCAACCATTTTCAAAATTCGTTAATGAGGTTAAAGATATGATCTCTTTAAAAAATGAAATTGATTTTCTTTAAAGTGCGATTTGTAATCTTACAATTGAAGAGACTTTACAAAATCCTAAAATCCAAGGAAACATTGAGATTTTGAAGAGTCAATTCTCTCTACAAATATGTGGAGACCACCCAAATGTATTTTGGGAAAGTAAGAGGCATGTGGTGAGTCTTCCTTATGAAGAAGAATTTTTTGAAGATAATATTCCCACTAAGGCAAGACCATGCCAAATAAATTTAAAATATCTAAATTTATGTAAAAAAAAAAAGATTGATAATATTTCTCCAAAAGGGTTTAATAAGACCCTAAAAATCTCCATGGTCTTGTACTGCTTTTTATGTTAATAAACAAGCAGAACAAGAGAAAGGAGCACCTAGACTTGTCATAAATTATAAAGCGCTAAACAAAGTTTTAAAATGGATCAGATATCCTGTCCCCAATAAAAAAGATTTACTGGATCGACTTCATGAAGCTATAATATTTTCAAATTTTGATTTAAAATCAGGTTATTGACAAATTCAAATTTATGAAGAAGATAAATATAAGACAGCCTTTAACGTCCCAATGGGATAATATGAATGGAATATTATGCCTTTTGAATTAACAAATGCTTCTTCGGTATTTCAAAAAATTATGAATGATATTTTTAACTCCTTTAGAAATTTTATCATCGTATGTATAGATGATATTTTGGTATTCCCAAAAACCATATAAATGCATTTTAAACATCTTGATCTATTTAAGAAAATTATTATTCAAAATGATTTGGCTATATCTAGACCAAAATGCATATTTTCCAAACTAATGTTAGATTCTTAGGTCATAATATTGAAAAAGGAAAAATTATTCCCATCTAAAGAAGTATAGAGTTTGCATCAAAATTCCCTGATGTTATTACTGATAAAACTTAGATCCAATGATTCTTGGTAATTTTAAATTACATCTCTCTTTTTATAAAAGATTTGTCTAAAGACACAACTATATGATAGACTTAGAAAAAATCCTAAAGCTTGGACTGATAATCATACTACACTCCAAAACTAGGGTTCCAAAAAGCATACCTTATATTATAGAAAAGTTTGAGAAAGGGGCACCCCTACTATACCCCTAAACTACAAGCTAGCGCGCAACGGCGGAAAAGCTGTTATGGCTTTCCACTGGGAAAGTAAGAGACGAGTATAGTTGTGAACCTGGAAGCCATCTGAAAAGGGCATAGCAGTCAAAAACATTAAGACAAAGGTTAATAACCTACCATGCCTCACTTTAGCCAATCCGAATTGGCAAAAGATAGTGGAAACAGATGCCTCTGATATTGGCTACGGGGGAATTTTAAAAAAAATTTCTCCTAATGAAAAAACAAGAATAACTCATACACTTCTATTCTGGAAAATGGAATAATATTCAAAAAATTCTAATATAGCTAAAGAAATTTTGGCTATAGTTAAAAGTGTTCTAAAATTTCAAGGAGATTGATATAATAAAAAATTTATCACAAGTGTCGAGCAGAGAAATTCATCTTTAATAAATATGTAAAACATGATGTTTCAAAACAAATGTTTGTAAGATAGCAAGCTTTGTTAGCACCTTTTGATTTTGAAATACATTATCAAAAGGGAACATATAATAGTATTCTCGATTTTTTTACTAGAGAATATTTAAGTTAATAAATCTTTATCTATTAATACCAGGAGCGATGCAGCCATTGTGAAATTTTGCCTCTAATAGAGGAAGGAAGAGGAAAAGCACTCATGGGAAGAAATAATATCTTGGCCTAAATACGAAACCAGAAGCAAACAGCTTCAAACATTGCAGGAGCATATACGAGCACATTGGGAATTAACACTGAACATCAAATGTACAAATAATTCATGAATTTTATACAATCCAAACAAGCTCAGGGTAATAACCCACCATCCTATTCTTCGGCTGTAACTGACGAAGGAAATGAAAATATTGAAGTATATGATAAAAATGAGAAAGATAAAGTAATACTTCTTTTTGAGCCCATATATTTACAATGGAAAAACGATCCATGGCAAATAATGACCAGGTATTTTGATACAGCATCATATGTTGTCCCAACTTATAAATACAGAATGTATTATGAGATAATACTCTCATCTATTAGGTCAGCTGAATTTGAGCACTTTTACCTAGCCAATACTAAAAATGTTTATAACTTTTCAAAATTCATTATAAAAATGATATTCACCCCAGAAGAATGGGGAATAAGCACGATGAAAGAAAG